AACTTAATAATCACGGCAATAGTAAATAAAATACTATATAACACCAATTCATATTCATGGGTTGTCCGTTTCAATCCCATGCATGAAAGATTTTGCTCTTCTGACATTTATTTAGCCCTCATTTAATTATACACCGCATGCAATTACTCCTTATTAGTTAATGTAACTCTATTGACTTGTCATCTTGAAAATTGCCCCACCCTATATACATACAGTTCAATGAATTTACAGTATGGATGAGTTCAATGTAACAATACATATTTTTTTTAAATCACAAATTATACATCGAGACGACTTTGGCACATATATATAAACAATAATAATAAATGTCTCCAATGTAATAAATATATATATATATATATGTATAAATTTTGGTAAAAAAAACATGACTTTTTTTTTTTTTTTTTGCACTTTAGATTAATAAAGTAATTATATTTTTTTATTTGGTTTACGGCATAATAGCTACTACAAACTAATTATAAAGTCACGTTAAATGATATCCTATTAATAAAACATCTTTTCAAACTATTTATTTATTTTTATTCTTTTATTTTCGGCTCATTAAACCTATTTTTTTGATTAAAATTTGTTCATTATTTTTATGGCTTAACCAAAAGTTAATAAAACTTCATACACAAATACAATAATAATTGCTATACATAAAAGGAAGAGCATCTACTCTGGATCGGCCCATTAACTAATTAAGACGAATGAAGGATCAGGCCTGCTGATAATTGTGCCCAACTGTGAGAAAGAAAAGAAGCCCAAAAAATTTTTGTTTGAATTTTCCTGTTGTAATTTATCAATTTTTTGCTCTTTTACCGAGACAACTGAGATTGAATATTCAGTAGGGTAGGGGATATAATAAACAAAAAATTGATAAAAATTACTAGGAAATATATTTAAAAAATATATGTATTTATACATCATTTATATATCAATCAGACCAGACACAACATAATTATTTAATAAACTAGCCATTGGTTCAATTGCAAAATAAATAAATAAATAAATTAATTAAAAATTTCCATATTTCCATGTGTTTGCCCATGTGCTTGTGTGAGCCCACCCGCACCCTAGTCTAATTAATTTTTACAAAAACCTAAAATTTCCATATTTCCAACATAAAATTAATTTTCATTTATTGTAATTTGAATTTGAGAATTTTATAACTGTTTTAATTGGAAAAAAAATAACTGCAAAATCGGTCTAAAATCAATTTTTACTTAATGTTGTCTAACCGTTAGACAATTGTACTTTCTAAAATATGATATATCTATATATAAAAATACCTAAATCCATTATATTAGTGTAGTTGATTAAGTATAACTTCTAATTTTCTCAAGTAGACAACTACTAATTTTGATTTAGAGATCATTATATATTGTTTTCTTGATAACAAGATAAAGATCTAAATTATTAACTACTAACTTTTAGACATGGTCAAAGCCCGATTTTGGGCCGATGGGGGTTGTTGAACAATCCCGAAAATATATACGGGCCAGTTCAATGAACTGGCGGTTCCAGGTCAGCTTATAAAGTGTTGGTTCATGGTTGGTCAAACTTATTATAAAATAAATAATAATTAAAAATAAATAAATAATAATAATAAGTCGAACAGTCTCTTCCGATTTTGGCTCGGAACTTGAACCGCTGGCTCAAAAATTTAAATGCTTTAACCGGAAACGACACGAGTAAAACCACGGACTGGTTCAAGGCTCGCGGTCAATGGGCTGGTTTCAGGCTAGTTCGTGCCAATCCTCGCCCCGGCTCGTGGTCATGTCCACTAGCTACATATTAACATCAACTTTAACTCAACTTCACTATTCTTAATATTAACAATATAGTTAAATAATATCAATTAATCATTCTTACATATCACATCAATTTTAATTCATTATCCGTCAACTCAAGTAATTTTGATAACCATCCTTTCTAATTATTTTTCTCCTTCTTTTACATCAAACCAACTTTAACTTATTTTATTTTAATTAATATCTTAATCTAAACTTAAATTTTTACCAACAACTAACCATACCACATTTTTCAAATTTACTATGGTTATAAAAAACTAATAAAAAACCCAATCAAATTCATATTCAATCACGCCCTAAATAGTTTAATGTCTAGGTTGGCCCAATTCAGGAAGCTCGAAGATCGAGAGTATGGCTGCAAACGAGTCGAGCGGCTCGCGAGCCGCTTGCAAGTGCTTGAGTCAAAGGTCGACTCGAGCTCGAGTTTGACCGAACTCTAGTCGAGCTCGAGCCCATATTTTACATTGTCGAGCTGCTCGATATATATGTTAAATTACTAAATTACCCTTATATACATTTAAATAGTATAACACCAATGCTTAATGATAATTTCACTTAAAAAGTTTCGAGCCGAGCTCGAGCATTTTGATTTCGATTCGAGCTCAAGCTATTGTATTTTTTTTATCGAGCTCGAGAAGTTAAAAAAAATCAATCTTTCTCGATTCGACTCAGCTCGTTTGCACCCCTTGTCGAGAGACTGTTTGTTGTACTTTTGTCGCATTTTTCATGTAATTTCGTGCCTTAGGCGAGTATTTTTAGGTTCGTTTTAGTGTCGACTGGTTCATTTTATTATTTTTTTTTTGTGTATTTTTGTTCTCGTCTTGTGTTTTAATTTGTGTTTCGACTTATTTTCTCCGCTCTTTTGTTGTTGATTAGGTTCATTTTGCCGAGCTTAGGAAAACGAGTCGACCGAGCCGTCTGAGCCACTCAAGCCATCCCGGACCATGACCGGGATCGTACCCGCTCACCATTCGCGCTTGCCTGTACCTTCCCGGGCACTCTCGCGCCCAGCATGCCACGCGCCTGTCCGCATGTCTAGCTGTCGAGCTATAATGACGAAAAATATATGCGACTAAAGTAACAAGCTATAATGACGAAAAATATATGCGACTATATCATCGAGTTTTTGTGACCAATATTATTTGTGGCTAGTGACAAGCTATAATGACGAAAAATATATGTGACTATATCATCGAGTTTTTGTGACCAATATTATTTGTGACTAAACCATGGATTACTAGTGATCAAAATTATATGTCACAAAAGACCTATGGTTAGTGATAAAAATTATATGTCACAAAAGCTTATGGTTAGTGATAAATAACAAAAATGGTCACTATAACTTTTAGTGACACTACCTGTAGTGACAACTAGTGACAAACACTTATTTTGTCACTAACTATTAATAGTGACAATAATTGTAGATATAGTGACAAAAAAATTCATCACTATAACTCTATTTTCTTGCAGTGTCGCCAACGAGTTCACTCCCACGTGCGCGTGAACCGCGCGCGCCAGGGAGCTGTTACTCGCAACCCAGCAAGTTGGGGCCAAGGCTAGCCCTTGTCCACCATGCACACTCGCTGCGAAAACCGTTTCGAGACCCGACGAATTGCAGAATTCATTAAATGTGTGTGTTTTTAGTGTGTGCTTCTGGTGTAGTTACAAATAAACATTGTGCTTTGTATTTTCGGACACAACCCTCATTTTTCAACTTTTTAGTTGAGAAATTAGCTCTTTGTTCTCTCTTTCATTTTATGTTTTGGTTTGAAGGTGCAAGAGTTGACATTTTTCGACGACTTTTCCGACAATTTTTCTGCGACCTTATTTTTATCCAAAATTCGATCTTTACGCATTATTTTCGTCCGAGCTTGCGAAAGGGGATAAGTAGCTTGATTAGGGCTTATTAGTTCGAGTTTGTGTTTTGGTTTGATTTTTTTGTTGATGCTCGATTTAGGACTTTATTTTATTTTTTTTGCATGTTTGAGTGTTAGGAGTTAAATTTGTGCCTATCTTGTCATAAAAGTCTCGACTTTGTTAAAGCGTGATTATTCAGTTAAGAAGGCTCGGTTTATCTACCTAGGATCTTATGGCTAGCATTTTCCTTTTCGTTTATTTTCATTTTCCTCTTTGTTTATTTTCATTTTCAATTTGTGCTTATCTTGTTATAAAAATATCAATATATTTTTGATAAATATTTATAATTTCATTATTAAATGATAAATTCTGAAAAATAATAAAAACATAAGTATGAAATTTACAGTGTACATATATACATACATATATAAAAAACATAAGTACATTTATTCTCTCTTTTCTCTCTTTCTCTATATATTATATAGAGAAAGAGAGAGGGAGAGAGAGAGAGGGAGAGAGATAGAGAGAGAGAGAGAGAGAGAGAGAGAGAGAGAAGCGCTCCGTTGAAAAAAGTTCTTAGTGAAATAAGTAAGAATAAATTTTATCAATCAGATTGGACAATTCAAAACAAAAAAAAAAACAAAATTATACCATCATTAAAGATATTTTAAAAATTTCATTTTATTTACTAGCGGGTCCCACCAAGCCCACCAACAAGTCGTTCTCATAGTCATCACCCGCATTCAAGCTCGTGACAGTCGTGATACCAAAAAAAATTAATAATAATAATAATAATAATAATAATAATAATAATAATAATAATAATAAAAATACTCTATTCCGACTCAAAATTCAATAATAAAATATTATATAAAAAATTCAAATGGTTATTAGTCCAATGGTGAAGCTTATAGTAAAAAATTCAACCGAGAACAACATTACAAAATTCAGTTGTAGTTAAATTTTCTTTGAAATTAAATTGTAATTTGATAGTTTCAACGATCATTTTTCGTACGATTTATTATTATAGGAATTTTCGTTAGGTTTTTTTAAGCAATATTTCAACGATTGAGAAAACTATTGTTTGAATTGTAAGTAATCCAACTGAAAATTCAATTGAAAAATAATTCTAACATAATATATTAATTGGAATTAATTCTAAAATTCCAACAAAATAACGTCACAGGAATATCATTGAAATTCTGTTGGAATAAATTTTTATTTGAATTTCCCTATTGTAATTTATCATTTTTCTTTTCCTTGTACAGAGACAATTCTTCTTCTTGTTTTTCTGTACATAAAAGGAGGCATAGCCTAAGAAAGAAAAGATCACACAACTACGTTCCGTGGGTAGGAAACACTGAGAGTGTCGTGTTCCAGCCATGGTTTAACGTCTCCTGGAGGGATCTGCAACACATGAAGCCCGCCGGGACTTCGCGTAGTCAGTGAGGCCAGCGAGTCCGCTAAATTTGATTCACGCCGGTCTCCCCGATCGGTTTCGGGTCGGTGGTTGGTTTTTGGTTGAATGAATATCTGTACTTCCGGCCTTACCTGATTTCTATAAAAGTTTGAAAGGGAAGTGATGAAAAGAAAGCGCCAACGTTCTTTACTACGCTTCCTCGTTTCCAATTGTTGATCGATCTTTTCCGAGCCAATCATAGAGAAGGCGCACCTCCCAGTCTCTAGCGAGAAGCTCCGGACAACTCGGATCAAACTACCATTCGCTCCTACCGAGACAATTCTGATTAATAGTGAGCAGGGTAGGGGATATACATAAACCAAAAAAATTATAAAATTACAAGGAAATATAAATAAAAAGAATATATATATATATATATATTTATATATCAATCAGACTGGACATAATAATTAATTAATAAACTACCCAAAAAAGTTTAATAATAATTATAAAATTACTAGAAAATATAAATAAAAATATGTCTACAATATCGTTACAAGATGGTTCTTTCAATACTTTTCACCGTTGGATATACATTTAATTTTGAAAATTGCTAAGGTCTCCGTTACGGGATGGTAGCGTCAGTGTTTTTCACCATTGGATACACATATAATTTATTTTGTGTGGATAATCTGCGGTAACTGACTGAACTATTCCGTCAACAGAACTGTAGTAGTCTCCATAAATTATATAGTGTACATAATCGACAGTAACAACAGTGATGGAATCCATTAGTCATTCCCAAAAAGAATATATATTTATATATCAATCAGACCAGGCATAATAATTAATTAAAAAACTAGCCAAAAAGGGTTCAATTTTCCCTCTTGTCGTCCTCTACAATACCCTCATTCCCAGCAAGCATCAAGTACTTATCCTTCCTCGTCAGGTTAGTGCACTCAAACCCTAAAGCATTCCCCAGCTCCCTCTGTATGTAATTCGCCACCTCATGCCTCGACTTCCCGCCCGCACACGTCATCTCCGTCGGCACCTTCTCCAGAATCTCCACGCTGTAGAACGGCCTCGGGTTCATCAGGAAAAATATCGGGTCCAAACACTTCAGCCCTCCAGCTGTCGTCCCGTAGAACATGGTCACGCTCGTGTTCACGGCCACCGGCACTATCTCCTCAGCCAGCTCAGCAAACAACGAGCTAAACCTCAACAAATATGGCTCCCGGCACGTGGTCCCCTCGGGGCAGACGACAAGGTCCCCCTCGGCCAGAAGGCTACGCATTGTGCGCGCGTCACGGTGGGGGTCTCGGGTCAGCCTGACGGTCCTTATGGGCGCAAGGATTTCGGACATTTTGCTGAGGCTGTAGGTGACGGCGGTGAGGGGTCGTCCGAGGGAGGTGCTGAGGAAGACGGGGTCGAGGAGGGTGCGGTGGGAGCAGACAAAGAGTGTTCCGGCCCGGCCTGGAGACGGTGGAGGGGCCCGGCCCGTGAAGTTGATGCGGATCCCGCTGGCGATGCCGAGGAGGAGGGAGAGGCGGTAGGGGAGGAGGATGCCGATGAGGAGGCGGAAGATGGCGAGGAGGAGGCCGAACGGGAGCCAGAGGAACATGGCGAGGGAGGCCGAGGGGGTCGGGAGGAACGCGATGCGGCCATCGTGGAAGATTAGTGGCTTCGGGTAGTTTTCTCGAGGGAGGGACGGGCCGCCGCTGGTGACTAGATATGCATCCTGCAGAGTGATAATCAATTGAAATATCTCATGAGATTTGTACCCAAAAAAAAAAAAAAAATATCTCATGAGATTTAATTAGAATAATTTGAAGGATTTGCTTCGTGATGTTTAAAAATATTTGTGTGTGATCATGCGTGTGTAATGTGAACATATAAATTAATCAGATTTTGTTTGGATAAAAGAAAAATGGAATGACTGCAACTACATTTGTCACAAGTATGGTGTTACTTAATTAAAAACAACAATATATGCACATTTTAGTGTTAGATCATTATATTTACACAAACGACCAAAATTCCCAATTATTCATTCATTTTTCCTTCTAATAATATGCTCAAATGTTATTAATAATGGCACGGATCACGCGTACCTTGCAAAGAGACATCAGCAGATGGTCGTCCGGGCTTGGGCTCCCGATACCTATATCTGGCCTTTTATCCCCGAAAATCTCCCTGGCAGCCCTGTGCTTCGCCACCAACCGCGAGCCCGACACCAAGCCCGTATAAAACCGGCCCGCTAGATGCAACTCTGTCCCGACCACCTTATCCGCCCCCAAGTACTCCTTTAAAAACCCCTCCACCATGACCCTGGGCACGCTCGTGACCACAACCCGCCTCCCGGCAGACACAAACGCCTCGTACGCGTGCCGGTTGAGATCCTCCAGGTAGAACTTCGGCAGCACGGCCCTGGCCACGCCGTCGACGTCCTCGGGCCTGAGCCCGCAGAAGGTGACGAACACCATGACCCGCATCCCAAGCTCCTTGCCCAGGAACCACGTGACGGGGAACGTGAGGAGGAGGAGTAGGGCGCGTAGGAGGCCGCCGCCCTCGAAGGCAACGAGCATGAAGAAGGGGAAGAAGGAAGGGGACCTGAGGAGGCAGCGGTGGACGTCGCAGGTGAGGGTGTGGGAGGTGCGGGGCCGGCACCTGGAGACGTCGGGGTAGGGCGGCGCGTGGAGGGGCGTGGGGGGCTTGGAGGGGTGATTTTGGAAGAGGGGGCGGGGGCGTTTGAGCTCGGCGGGGAGGAGGAAGTGGAGGAACCAGTCGGCGAGTCGGTGGAGAACGGTGGGAAAGTAGTCCATTGGGTTGATTGATTGATTAGGTTTGTGTGTGTTGAATGAGTGTTTTATGAGATGAAGAGAGAAAAAAAATATAAGAATATGAAAAGAAAAGGAGGTGATGAGAAATGAGAGGGGGAATGGGGAGTGACAGAGTATTTATAAGAGTAATAAAGGATGTGTACAGAGAGGGGGGGTTGACCATGCAAAAATTGGTTAGGCATTGATTGTGGTGGAGCCTTCAATTCATTCTTTTAATTTCAACTTTTTCATATATATGATACTATATCTCTCGACCATCATCAACATATATAGGGTCACATTTTAATAATATCGGACTCTTATTATAACTATGTTCTTTTTAAGAATATGATGATTTCAAACGCCCCCCGCGTTGCAAGATGCAACTTGCATCTCAATCATCGGGTTTGGGCCACCACCACCACCAGAACAACCCGTCGGTTCATTAATCAATCAATTGCAAAACTAAGTGTGTCTTTATATACAAATATATTCACAGGTTATATATTGTATATAAAGAGAATATTCAGGAATTTCCTTTATCTAAAACAAAAGAAGGGCACGCCAACCATAGATCTAAAGAAAAATAAGGAAGACCTCTTTGTTTTGTATTGATTTTGAGCTTTTTTTTATTAATTATATGCACGTGCCCGTTCAAAGAGTTGGCGGTCCTGGGCCCGGTTTAGTGAACCATCTGTTCTAGGCTGGCCGGTGCGGTGAACCGGCGGTTCTGGGCCGATTTGGTGAACTGCCGGTTTTGGGCCGGTTCGATTCGTTTTAAAAAAATAATTAAAAACTAAAGAAAAAATAAAAACTGGTTGAATCGTCGGTTTTAGTTCGGAATCAACTCAACAGTTAAAAGAATAAATATATGTGGGCCAGAACCTGCCCGGTCAAACAACAAGCTCGATTCATGGCCATCGGTCATGTTTAAAGAAAAAATAGAAAATGGTCGAATCGTCGGTTCTAGTTCGAAATTAGCTCGGCAGTTCAAAAGGTACATATATGTGGCTCGGAACATGTCCAATCAAACAACATGCACGATTAAAAAGCCTGTTGACCACCGGCCGATTCTGAGGCGATTCAGGCCTAATTGGTTGGCTTGTTCGACCTGCGGTCATGTTTAGGTCCAAGCGTTCGAATCGGCCCAAGTTTGACTCAGGGAGTTTTTCTGGTTAAAAAACAATGTTTTTAAATCATCACAATAAAAATTTTCCCAATAACTTAAAATAAGTAATAATTATTATATATATATATAATATTCGCAATTACAGAAAATGATCGCTAAATGTTTTTAAATCATCATAATAAATCATTCCCAATAAGAAATAAGTAGTAATTTTTATATATAATTTTTGCAATTATACAAAATGTCCGCTAATTAATGAATTAAATAGCAAATATATATGTTGCTCCAACGTGTGAGTTAGTAGGTAGTATTATTTGTGGATTGCTATTTACCGCCCCCTTTTACTAGTCACCGCCCCCCTCCAATTACGTTTTTGCCCTTTACTATCTTTCTCTACTCTCTCTCTCTACTTTTTTTCCTTACGTTTTTCTACGGCTCTTTTGAC